AGGCTTTACTGAGCTCTTAGGACAAGAGAATTTCCTGCCTTGCCCCAAAGGCAGATAGGATTTGTTTCTACCCTTCCTCCAGTGGCTTAAACCTTTTGTTTTGTATTGGAGAAGAGCCTAGAGAAGTGGCAAGGTTCTGAGCTTGTCCGTCAGTGCAGCCACTAACCAGCTGCATGCCTGCACCAAATTGGGCTGTCTTTTGTCTGCAGTTGTACCCCCAGTTGTCCTCCTGAGAACCTAGGGCAGGACTATGGAAAAGCACTCCTGCCTGGAGCTCCCGGTTTTTCTAAACTATCATGCTAGCTCATACTCAGGCTTTAGGAATTTATTAACATTTCATCTACTTTCTTCTTATATTTATGGCAGTCATCTCTGCCGTCTCTGCCCTGCCAAAGCTGTAACAGTTTTGTGAGTTCTATCTCTCCCAGAGGATTTGCTACTCTCTAGAATTCATTTTGCCTATTTGTCTTGTAATCTCAGGTCTCTGAAGGGTTCAAGAAAAGCTACGATTTTCTTTTTAGGTTGCCTCTTTGTCACTGTTATGTCTCTACATTCTAAGGAAAAGTAGAATACTTTCTTCACCTCTTTTTTATATGCCACTCATGCATCTTGATTTTTTTCATTCGGATATCTTAGAGTTTTTCCTCTATCTTGGAGTTTGTTGTAAGTCAGACATGACTACTCTTTTTTGTATTTGATCATTCATCAGAGTAGTACTCATACCAAAGTAATACATATATCAAAAGGCAGAAGTTATACAAGATTAATAGTTTAAAAACTCAAAGTTTATAATTTAAAACACCAAAATATCCTGTTCTCTTTTCCTGCCACTGGCCATTTCTGCTTCCCCCTTGCCAGAGGCAACCACTTTACCACCTGTTGTAACTATTTATGTTTTTATTTATCACTGTGGGTAATTTGGGCTATCTCTTGATTTCTCATGTTTAAATATTATGAGAAGTAATATAAAAGTAAGAAAATTAAATATACTTTCTGCTCTGGAAAATGAGGATCTAACTCTGGTACATACTCTACACATACACTTTTCTGCATCTCTGTAATTTATCCCCAAAGTCTTTACCACTTAAGCACATCATGCAGTTTTTTTTTTTCCATTCCTTTCCCAACCTCCACCCTACTCCACCCTTAGAACTCTTTATCCTCCTCTTTATTGCAGATTGATTGATAGGCCTGCTACAGAGCTACTGTTTAGGTTCTTCTCTTCACCATTATCCTGAAAATTTCCTTGGCCTCTTGTCGTTTATTGAGTTGCCTGTTTTCTGGACAGTTTCCCTTGTTCTTGGTTTACTTTCTTGTTTTGATGGAGTACATACTTTAGGGGCTTCCTCGTGAAGGAGACATGGGAAGTAAACTTTTTTTGAGATCTTGTGGTCTGAAATTTTTTTATATTTCCCACAAACTTGATAGTTTTTTTCTAAGATATAATTATGAGTTGGAAGTACATTTTCACAGAGTTTGGAAGGCATTGCATCATTGTCTTGTACCTCCCAGCATTGCTGTTAAAATTTCAACACTTGATTGTTCAGCCTGTATATGAAACCTTTACCCTTCTCCTCCCTCTCAATGCTTTCCTGACTTTTTATTTTCCCAGGGATTCTGAGATGTGTGTATTTTATGTTTATTTGATAAATTGTGTTGGACATTTGAGTTATAATCTAGAAATGCATATACTTCAGAACTGAGAAATTTCTTATACCATTTCTTTAATAATTTCTTTACTTTCATTTTTGCTGTTATTTATTTCTGGGATGCCTGTTAATCTTATAAATGGTCTTGTGATTTTTCTTTTTTCCACCTATTTCTGTTTTTGTTGTTGGTCTGTTTTGTAGGGAGATTTCCTCAAGGTTGTTTTCCAGTCCCTCTTGAAATTTTCATTTCAGCTATTGCATTTTTTATTTCCCAGAGTTCTTCCTCATATTCCTTTTTATGTCTTCTTATTCTTGCTTAATGGATATAGTATTTCTCTTATGTGCCTGAGTATTTTTATTTTTTGCATTTTTTTTCTTCTGTTCTCCCATTATCTTCCTGTTCCTTGTGGGTTAGAAGCCTTGATGTGTCTTCTGAGGGGCAAATGAGAAAAGAGGCTGGGAATCTTATTTTTTCAGTATGGAACCTTGAAACTCCATGTCCTTATTTGCAGGGTAACACATGGATTTCACCCCAACTGTGCCTGGTGTCCAGAACCTCTCTGTTTTAGCCTCTCCCAGCAGGAAACTCCTGTTAGGAAGGGGTAGGCACCTGGCTGCTTGGGGTCAAAGAGGTGATATGGAGATTTCATAAGACCTTGAGAAGACTTCCACACAATCTTTCTGTTTCAGCCCCTTCCAGCATTTATCTTTAAATGTACCAGGTGTACTCCTAATTCTGGAGGCTTTCTGGGATTGTGGGTGACACATCACTTTACTGTTTGTAAGCTCTTTGTTAGCTTCTTCCTTTGCAGGTTAGGTTTCAGTTACATCTGTTAAGCCAGCCACAACTTGTTCATCTGCTTTTCAAATTCCAGACTTTGATTGACTTACCTGCTACCGTTGTCTTATATATTAGTTTGTTTGCTGTAAAGAACTGCCCGAGATTGGGTAATTTATAAAGGAAAGAGGTTTAATTGACTCACAGTTCTGCAGGGCTGGATGGGGAGGCCTCACGAAACTTACAATTGTGCCAAAAAAAAGCATCTCTTGACGGGGCAGCAGGAGAGAGAAATGAGTACAGAGTAAAAGGGGAAGCCCCTTATAAAGCCATCAGGTCTTTCAGACTCATTCACCATCAATAGAACAACATGGGAGAACCGCCCCCTTGATTTAGCTATCGCTACCTGGTCTTCCCCTTGACATGTGGGGATTATTACAATTCAAGGTGAGATTTGGGTGGGGACACAGAGCCAAACCATATCATCTCCTTTCGTATTTCTTGTGTGTATCTGAGGGGTGCAATAGAAGAAAGACAGAAAGTAAGGATTGAGCTGTACTTTGTGCTGCTGGGTTTCTGCTTTCCGAGAGAGCAGTCCTCATTAGTAATTACTTTCACCTTGTCTCTCCTGACCTCTCCCTCTTCCTCCTCCTCTTCAAACAATGATCTTTAAAAGAAACAAATTTTGAAGTTAGGCATAGCTCTCAGATGAAAATCTTATGTTACCTACTGGATAAATTGTATACTATTAAGGTAACAAAAGCAAGGTAAAGATAGAAGAAATTAGTTTAGTCGAATAAAACAGATTTTATTAATTCCACTCATTAAAAATGAAAAACTTGTTTAGATAGACTAGAATCCTGTGGCTACTTGTAGAACTGCCCCACAATTCCCGAAACATAAATACTTCTCTAAGAACCTAAACAACTGTCAGCACTTTGATAAGTACAGGCTCTGTCTTGGAGGTACGAATACAATTAAAAATAAGGTAGGAATATAAGAGAAAAATTGAACATTTTTTTTTCTTTCTGTTCACCAGGTTTTCCTGTGAATAATGATTTTAGCTGCTTTTCACAATCTTTTAAATTTCTTTCATCCCTTGGAACTATCTACTTCTGTTTTCTCTCATTAGTTTTTGCAGCAGTCCTTTCCATCCCAGCTGTACCTAGAGCATTCTTCTTAATAGTTCCAAACTCTGTTCTTCATCTCACTGTTTTTCTTTTCATTCTTAGATGGCACAGTTTTACTTCATCTGTAACTTTTCTGTTTATTCCTTTCTTCGGCTTCCTTTTTTTTCTCCTAATAACGATAGTGCAAAGGTAGCATGGTTACTCTCCTCTAGCTGGAAGATGTAGTTTGACATCCTGGCACCTCTGCATGTTATCTGTGTGACTTTAGAGTAATTACAGAACCTCTCTAACCCGAGTTTGCTTGTCTGTAAAATTGAATGTTAATATCGCTTATCTTACCAAATTTTTGTAAGGATGAAAATGACATAATCCATATCCGTGCAAAACACTTAGCACATTAGCAACCACACTTTTAAATCTTGAGTGTTAGCTATTAGCTATTACCTCTATCAGTCTATTTTATTACATAATAATTTCTGTCTTGTGAAGGATGCCTGTGTTGGCATTTTACAGTCAAAGGTTATAGCAGAAGTCTCTCAAGATGGTAAATGTGGATGAAGACAGGAATTTGTGTTTTAAAGAGATAAAAGAGCTAATTAGAGAAAGAGATGCTCCCTGGTTCATATGAAGCTGCCGGTCGTTTCTAACATACTATCATCTTACTTTTCAGGATTCTTTATTTTTGTTTTTGCTTCTGCTGTCTGCCGCTATATCGTTCCCTGCCACCCTAAGATGTATAATGAAAAGGAAATAATTCAATAAGAACAACTTTAAAAAAAAAAAAAAATGAACATGGGGCTGGGCGCGGTCGCTCAGGCCTGTAATCCCAGCACTTTGGGAGGCTTAGGTGGGCAGATCACAAAGTCAGGAGATTGAGACCATCCTGGCTAACACAGTGAAACCCTGTCTCTACTAAAAAAAAAAGAAAATACAAAAAAATTAGCTAGGCATGGTGGCACGCACCTGTAGTCCCAACTACTTGGGAGGCTGAGGCAGGAGAATCGCTTGAACCCAGGAGGTGGAGGTTGCAGTGAGCCAAGATATCTATCACCAGTGCACTCCAGCCTGGGTAACAGAGTGAGACTCTGTCTCAAAAAAAAAAAATTGTTTTTTAATCACCAGCTAGAGCTTGTATTCTATATAATACATATATTGAATATTTGCTTATTTGTACCTTAAATTATAAATGTACATGCTCAGATAAAAGCAGAAAGATAGAAGAAATAAATTCAGGTGCAGAAAAGGAATAAATGATACTCTTCATGTTAGTTTCTTTTGTAGCCATCGTCCCAGGGTCAGAGATGGAGAGAATATGCAGAATAACCATGTGAGAGGCCTTTGCCTTTGCTGAATTGATTAGTTGCCCTTTTTTTTTTTTTTTTTTTTTTTTTTTTTTGAGTAAGCCTGTTTCTCTGGATTTGAACAATTGATTTAATCTTTCAGACAGGGGAAAACAAAGGATGGAGTGGTCCAAAGGCTGGGTTTCCTGAACCAACAAATAATAGTAAGTTCTCATTTTTATGTTTTGTGTACTTCGTGTTCATCAGTGACTCAGTTGGGTCTGTCTGGGTCTGACAGACTGTTAAGTATTGTGGAGGGTACAAAGGAGTCCTGATGTTTGCTTTCTTGGAACTGACAGAATAGCTGGAAAACTAAAGCACAGATGCACTTATCAACATACACTTAACATAGTTAAGCCATTGCAGACTAAGTGCCATTTAATACATGTAGTGATCATGTGTTTTTTTTAAAGTTTCTATAATTCCAGCACTTTGGGAGGCTGAGGTGGGTGGATCATGAGCTCAGGTGTTCAAGACCAGCATGGCCAATATGGTGAAACACTGTCTCTACTTAAAATACAAAACCTAGCTGAACGTGGTGGTGTGCACCTGTAGTCCCAGCTGTTTGGAAGGTTGAGACAGTAGAATTGCTTGAACCTGGGAGGCGAAGGTTGCAGTGAGCCGAGATTGTGCCACTGCACTCTAGCCTGGCTGACAGAGCAAGACTCTGTCTTAAAAAAAAATAAAAATCCTAATAAGAAATATAAAGAAGTGATTATTTATAAGCTGATTATGCTGTCAGATCATCTTTCAGAGTTCCAATTATTTTTATATGCACACAATTTTTTATGTAATTATGATATACATAAAGTTTTATTCTGTTTTTACTTAACATTGCCATAGGCATTTTTGCATTTTGCTGAGTCATTAGAATGTTAATATTTTATTAAAGTTGCTAAGTGAAATATCAGAAATGTAAGAATAAAATTGCTCAGTTTTGTTCCACTAACAGTATATTCAAACACTTAAAAATCAGTATCAGTTTACTGATTTTTTTCAAATGTGTGTGATCAAGATATTTTGAACTAAGGCACAGATAGACTTATCAACATACACTTAAACATTTAGACGTTTTTCCTTAATACCCTCCCTCACCTCCTAAAAATCATGTATTTCACTAAAGTTACCAACCCTAGCTGTCTTCCTTACAACCTCTGGACACTGAAAAAGCTTAAATTTGTAAATTTTCATAATCCATGGTTTTATTCTTTAATATTAGTGGCTCATCTCGATGTATAATGAAATTAGTAACAAATTCTTATTAAAATATGCTCATAAGAATTGAATTATTGGTTCGTCAAAACTAGCCTCTTGAAAAGAATATTTCAGTGAGGTAATGGTATTTTGGGTTTGCTTTCTGGGAATAATTTAAATTAATGTGCCTCTCAGCCCTTGGCCTGTATAAATAGGGGTGATGAATATGATGGGCTTAGCACATAGCCCATGGAAAAAATGGAATCAGTTCAGGATTCCTAGAGTTTGTGTTCAGTTCCTTTGATGTTTGAATATATTAGTTTATAATGACTTGGTGAGGGAACGTAATAAACATGAAATTTATTGCAGTTTTATGTAAAGTACTTAGCATAGTACCTGTTACTTAGTAAGCATGTAATGAATGTCAATTTCCTTCCATGCCTCCTCCCTCTTTTCTTTTATAAAAATGGTATTATTCTATGTAGGCTTGCCAGAAATTCCATTCTTATACTTTTGTCTATCAGATGTTTTGTGTATACACATGGTGATCCAAGAATATATAGCTTATTATCGAATAGTTACATTTTGGCACTAAACATTTTTTGAAAGAATATAAACATTATGTATTTGAATATAGAAATCAAATAGTTATTAACTTGAAAATTTTAACATGAAATCACTTTATAGATAACCTGCAAGCTCTATCATTTAAACAGTGATGTTTTCGCCCCAAGCTTTATGTATTTGTTTTTCTTAACTTGCTAAGGGATGTATCTCATGGGATGAAAAGTGGGGGATACTTCTGTCTTGTGCAAATATGAGAAGAATATCACAAAGAGGCCAATGAGTTTCAGTGATCAGAAATGTGTAAGAATGCATAACGTGTTCCCTTGAGACATAAAGTTAGAAGTGAGAAAACTATTTGAAGCCAGCTTAAAACTTAACCAGACGGTTAATGCTTTAGGAATTCCTGGTCTACAATGGTTCAGATTAAACCTTTGAAGTCAGAATGTTCTGTTATCCCTTTCCAGCTGTAAGGAGGCGAGGAAGCTGCTCTAAGAGTTCTTTGAATGAACACTGGATTGTCCCTTCCTCAGGTTACCATAGATGATAAGGGCAGCCCAACCCTGAAAAGTAGCTGTTTCATTCTCCAAGGGTTGGTTCTCACAAGTGAAGCCTGAGTCCCCTTGAGCCAGCCCAATGTCACTTAAATACAACATTAGGAAGAAGTTGGTCTGTGCTTAGGAATTGATCATTCAGATGATGAACCAATTAGCTGAAAATTAATTTAAATTCATATATCATGGTAATATTTGGTTAACTTCTTTACTACTTAATCAGTTTCTTAAGTTTGAAATTGTATTCTAAATGATTTCTGTCCCGTGGAGAATACTGGAGTTAGCATTTTGCAGGCAAAGGTTAGAGCAGGGATCTTGTGGGATGGCATATGTGGGGGAAGACGGGAATTTGAGATTGCTTTGCTGGCTGCCGCACTGACATGCTGTCTGACCTTGAACAACTCCTTCTACCTCTTACTATTCAATTTTCTCTGTTAAGTGTTATGCATACTAATTTATAATGTTGAGAATCTTTAATTTTATAACATTTATAAAATGATTATCCTTGAATAAAATCTGAAAAGGTAACATATTACTTTGTGAAAAACACTGTCATCGTGAAATGGCTTTATTCACTATGTTTTTTGTTGTTGTTAAACTCTACATTGCTTAAAAATTATAGTTTTAAAGATTAAATTTTTAGCCACCTATTATTTGGATAAATAATACGTAATTAACTTGGAACCATAATGTGCAAAAATGAAAAGAAGGGAATGTAGAATTGGAAAGGGGAAAAAGAGGAATTTTAATCTGGCATAGCTACCACCTAACTGTAAGTGGACAAAAAACATTAATATACATATGCATTTAATTTTTGAAGTGGAAGATATTTTTTAAAAGATTACAGTCATAGGAAACTGTTAACAATTACAACTAGAAAATAGCTTAAATGATTTTGCAAGTGATTGTGATTACATAGCCTGGTTCCTCAATTTATTTTCCTTGCTTGATTGCCTACAGATTTAAAATATGGACCTAATTTTTGGGTGCTGCTCAGGCTTTCTTCATTGTACTGAAATGCAGCAGAAAGTAGACTATTCTAAGTGTGTTTTTACCCTTTGAATCACTGTCATAGTTATATTGAAGTATAAGAACACATAACTTTGTAATGTGAGGTTTATGTTAAGTATAGTGTGGGGCAATTCAATTTTATGCTTGGTGTACACATAAAAAACTAGATTTTTACAGATGAATGACTAACACTTTTTTTTTTTTTTTTTAATCATGAGTTTTAAAGATCTACTGATGGCTCTTGGAAAACTGTGAAATATTTAGATACAGTTCAGCTGATAGTATCTCTTTTTGTATTTACATTACATGTTTCTTATTAATACAGGCTTTTACTTAAAAGCAGGTTCATTGTGTCTTAAAGGTGAACTGTAGCTTAATTCAAGATTGGACTAAGCTCAAAGGTATTCACTGGTATGTGCCAAATCCACCCACTAAAAGATTATTCGAAGGCATTTTTCATATAAATACTTTTCTGTTAACCTTTAAAAAGTTTTATTTAGCCCCTGTGAAATATGCTGGCACTTCTAGGTTCATTAGAGATGACCAAAGACAAATACTTGTGGATGCAGTAGCATTTTTGTTGACGTCTTTAGGATCTTAGTTGACTTACCAAGATTTTTGTCACTTTTGTTTCATATGCATGTATTATTAAACACCTCCCATCCTGAAACCAGGAGCCTACATTATCCCAGTGATATGACATTGGGTAGATTGCCCGCTGGTTTCCCAAATGCTGTGTACTATATTTAGAACCTCTAGTGTTGTTTTTTCCCCTAGTTTTGTTGGGGGTGGGGAGAGATAGTTGTTGTGTAAGTGTTGTACTTTTGAGATAATAGATTAATATGTACTTTCTTTAATAGTGTTTTGAGAGAGTTCCCTGAACAGATTCCTTTTGGGATTCCCATAGCAGAAACCACTTCGTAAGTGGTTCGTCACTGTTTTAATGAGACCGTTAAAACAGTTGGAGCCAACTGGACTTAAATACAAAGCTGAGTGATCCAACTTAATATTTTTGTAGACATAAATGTTGTGTTAGAAATGTAGGAATGTAGCAAGCTTGTAGTGATCTTATTTCGAAGGATTGCTGAGTTACTTGTGCTGGGCAACCCAGTCCCTGAATATCTGATTACTTTCAAACAAAGATCCTGTAAACAAAGGGCTATCTAGAGCAATTGGGAGCAATGGGAACATACACATTCTCATTGCTGCCCATCTGAGACTGCAGGTGGAATTGCTTCTCCTCCCCTGAATACAGGAGGAAAGATCCAAATATTTCAGAATGACATTATCCTTCCTTTACATGATGACTGTATATTAGACTTACCTGAGTGGTGAGAAGCTGTAAAAAAAAAAAGCTTTAAAACTTCACTTTGACAAAAATCCTCCTTTCTTACCTACTGAATCTAGAAGGAAGATTAGAGGTAGTTAAGCTTGCCTCTGTTTTAGTCATACCAGTTGAGTCTTTAAATGTCCATTGATTTAAAGGAAAAAGAATCTGAAATTAGAAAGTAAGTTTTTAATCAGATTAGCACAGATAACATGTTTTTCTGAAATATTCTCAGGAAAGATATGTAATGATTTTAAAAACTTGCTTGACTCATTTTTCATGTGAAAAGATATCAGATATGTTTTTTTAAAAAATGGAAATAATATGAGCATTTTTAGGATACATTTATTTATTGCAGTATGATGGTGTTTTTAAGCATAAGAGCAAAGGATAAAACCATACAGTAAAAAAGATAGATTTATATACATAAATGCTAAAAACAAGTTCAGGGAGCAGCATAAGAAAATAAAAAGGCAAATGAGGAGCAGCATAAATTGCAGCATAGCAACAGATT